TTTTTTTTGCGGAACCGGGGATTGAACTCAGGTCCTTGCGCTTGCCAGGGAAGCGCTTATTCTACTGAGCCATCTCCCTGGCCCCCAAAATAGCAAAATATTTAAGCTGTAAGCATCAACTCTTGAGTTTTATTTAATTGCAAGGGACGCATCCTGCGTGTACTTTTTTCTCTTCCTAATTTTTTCTTTTTTAATTTTGTACTGGGGATTGAACTCAGGACTTGTGCTTACCAGGTGAGTGCTTATGCCACTGAGCTATCACTCAAGCTCTCTTCCAAATTCTTCTAAATTACTCTTATGGAGACTATTAACATTGCAAAACGTGTTTAATTAATAACCTATTAAAGGGGGCCAGGGTGATTGCTCAATGGAATAAGTGCTTCCCTGGCAAGTGCAAGGACCTGAGTTTAATCCCCGGTTCTGCAAAAAAAAAAAAAACCTATTAAAATTAGGTAGGAAAGGAGATAGCTCAGTAGAATAAGCACCTGCCTGGCAAGTGCAAGGTCCTGAGTTCAATCCCTGGTACGGGAGGCGGGGAGAATTAGGTAGGAAGCAATGCATTTCTTTCCTTTGGGGGGGTACTGGGGCTCAAACTCAGAACATTACACTTGTGAGGCAGACACTTAAGCCACTGAACTATCTTGCCAGCCCATGCAATGCATTTCTATGGAACCTTTTGAAATCACGCTTTGAAAGTTTACAATTGAAAGCAGATAGGGGGCAGGGAGATAGTTCAGTAGAATAAGCGCTTGTCTGGCAAGCACAAGGGCTTGAGTTCAATCCCTGGTTCCAAAAAAAAAAAAAAAAGAAAACAAGCAGATGGAAGGCCAGCCAAATAGCTCAGTGGATTAAAGCACCTGCAAGCAGGCACAGGAGTGCTGAGATGGCAACTGAGACTGGGCGAGGTGGCGTGCACCTGTAATCCCAGCTCTTGGGAGGCTGTAAACAGGTGGGTCACTACAGTCCAATCTAGTAAGGAGACCCTGAACACGCTGTAGACCCTTCCCTAAAATACAAAACAATAAACTCACATCTCAACATTAAGTAGAAGCCCATTTCCTTCAAAAGTAACCACTACTTTTTTTTCAATGTATTTAAGATGTAGTCTATAGGGCCTCACTATACAGATTGGACTTGCATCAACCTGTTTTCAGCCTCCTAAGCACTAGGATTACAGGTGTGCCCACCATGCCCAGTCTCAATCGCCATCTCAGTGTGCCCTGGGGTCGGGGCCTGCATGGCAAGTGTGGATTGAAATTTGGCCGCTGCGCTCTGCCTAAGTAGGAGCTCTAGTCCACAGAGCTATCTGGCCGGCCCTCTACTACTTTCTCATAAAAATATAAAAGAGGCTGGGGAGATGGCTCAATAGAATAAGCACTTGCCTGGCAAGTGCAAAGGCCTGAGTTCAATCCCCGGTTCCACAAA